ATCAGAATGGCTAAAATTAACAACACAGGAAACAATAGGTGTTGGATAGGATATGGAGGAAAAGGGATCCTCTTACACTCTTGGTGGGAATTCAAACTGGCGAAGCCACTGTGGGAAACTTTATGGAGGTTCCTCAAAAAGTTAAACATAGAACTACCCTATGATCCAGCAATTGCACTACTTGGCATTTACCTAAAGAATACAAAGATACTGATTCAAAGGGACACATGCACCCTGATGTTTATAGCAGCATTATCAACAATAGCCAAAAAATAGCCAAATTATGAAAAGAGCCTAAATGTCCATCAACTGATGAATGGGTAAAGAAGAGGTGGCATATATATATATATATATATATATATGCACATACACACATGATGGACTATTACTCAGCCATCAAATAGAATGACATCTTGCCAATTGCAGTGATGTGGATGGAGCTAGAGTGTATTATGCTAAGTGAAACAAGGCAGCAGAGAAATACCTATACCATATGATTTCACTCATATGTAGAATTTAAGAAACAAAACAGATGAACATAGGTGATGGGGGTAAAAAAGAGAAGGAGGCAAACCATAAGAGACTCTTAACTATAGATAACAAACTCAGGGTTGCTGGAGGGGAATTGGGTAGGAGATGGGCTAAATGGGTGGTGGGTATTAAGAAAGGAATTTGTGAAGAGCACTGGGTGTTATATGTAAGTTATGAATTACTTAATTCTACTCCTGAAGCAACTATTACACTATATGTTAACTAACTAGAAAAATAAAAACTTGAAACAAACAAACAAACAAAAAAACCACAAAGACTATATACCCTTTAGTGAGTTCCTCCCTTCTGTATTGTTATTGGAATTGCAACCACTCTGATGTATTTGTTTTCAGCTTTCTTAAGGAATAATTGGCATACAGGGAACTGCATGCATTTAAAGTATGAAGTTGATTTTGGACATGTGACACTCATGAAACCATCATCAGAATTAACATAAGGAACATATCTAACACCTCCAAAATGTTCTTTTTATATCCTGTTGTAATACATCCCTCCCCTCTTAGCTGGCAGCTCCTGGCCTTCTTAACTTGCTTTGATACTGTTAAAATGTTTCAACCCTGAAACACAGCTGCACTCTCAGGATCTGAGCCGAGTTGAAATCTTTCATTGGGCCTTGATTCTTTCCTTCTTTGAAGGGAAACCAGACGCTCCCAAAGATCTTTCTTTGCAGTTGTCACAAACAGCTCCCAGACTAGATCAAGGGCCTTAAGAACGAACTGGGAGATTGAAACACTTTTATAAGTTGCAAGAAGAATTACAAAGTCTCAAATTACTTGAAGATAAACTAAATGAAAATTTAGTGTGAAAACATGTTTCTTAAAGAAACTTTTCCCCTCATAAACAGCATGAATTTGAAATGTAATGAAAATACAAAAATATGCATAATCCCACCATTGTAGCTGAACACTGTCAGTCATTTAGCATGTTTTTGTTCCTACCCCTTCCTTCATCAGAAAAATAATTTCTTTATTGAAAGAAATCTACTTTAAAGGGTTTTTTTATGTTTGTTTATTTTTGAGAGGGAGAGAGACAGAGTGTGAATGGGGGAGGGGCAGAGAGAGAGAGAGGAGACACAGAATCCTAAGCAAGCTCCAGGCTCTGAGCTCTCAGCACAGAGCTTGACGCGGGGCTCAAACCCACAAACCATGAGATCATGAACTGAGCTGAAGTAGGATGCTTAACAAACTGAGCCACCCAGGCACCCCTGAAAGAAATCTACTTTAAATGCAACTTTTGAATTTTGGTGTTTAATCTTTTCTGTACATACCTCCAAAGCACACACCACCATAATATAGCCATAAAAGCATGGGGTATATATTTTTCTCGGGTGTCAGAAAAAAAAATGAACATGTTTTCTTAGAGAAAGTGACTGCAAAATGCTATTAAGAACAAAAAGCTCTATATTTTTTAAGATAGTTTATTGTCAAGTTGGTTTTCATATAACACCCAGTGCTCATCCCCACAAGTGCCCTCCTCCATGCCCATCACCCCCTTCACCTCTCCCCCACCCCCATCAGCCCTCAGTTTGTTCTCGGCATTCAAGAGTCATGAGAGACTCTCAGAAAGCTCTATATTGTGGTTATGTTAGCAGGTTTTGAGAGAATTAATATCTATAAAAATAGAAAAATGTTTCTTCTCTGTTGAGCAAAAGTTTATAGCAGCAATGAACAACCCATTGAGAGATCCAACTGCTATAGCCAAAGATATTCTTTTCTTTTGGTGAAGGAGTGTTAGGGATGAGGAAGCTAAGTACCTATGTACACTCAGAACTTAGCTTCCTCATCCTTAAAATCCCCACTTCTCTCCTCACTAGATTGGAAGGACTCATTTTAATGCTGATATTCTATGTCCAGCACTCCAGATGGCCTACTGGCCAGTTAGTATGCTATATATTTCACTCCATATTTATTGGAAGCAATGAGGTAGAACAGAATGTGTGCTATCCTGAGAGTCAAGAAATCTTAGCACAATGCCTGGTATGGAGTAGGTACTAAATAAATAATAATTCAATCTAGTAGACCTGTGTTCTAATCCTAAATTTTGTCATTAACTTACTGAAAAGTTGGTAACTTTTTGAAGACAAAGAAAGCTTAAATTGATCTCTCCTTATTATCTTCCCCCAACATACAGACCTGGGCTAAGAAAAATATTGGTTGAACAAAGATACTTAAACCCCTCTAGTCTCTAGTTTCTTAACCTACAGAGTGGGAAATAATAACTCTTTCCTATCTCATGAGAGCATTAGGCCAGGTAATATAAAAGTCTAAAAGTGCACTGAAAAATATAAAATACTACACACATATAAGGCATTATGATTATTGGTAGAAGACCCAGATTCAGGTAGGTGAGCTGAAAAACAAAGGGTTAAGGCTCCATTTCTGGGTAGTAATTATCTGCTGGTGGGTACTTAGAGAGCTGGATGCAAGTTCAGTGACATAATCTGATACCAATGAATAGGAAGGAGTACTTTGAGTTTGAATTCATCACTAGAGACTGCAAAAGGTCATTTTTATGTAACTCAGGTTCTCATCAACATCCATGATTGCCTTGCAGTATATGTTTGGAAAGTGAATCATTACTTATATCTCCATTTCCTTGTCAGCAAAATGGGGCAATTGATACCTTCCTCATAAAATTTTATGAATATGTATGAAGGGAAAGCAGAATATAACTCCAAGGGACTGGATAAAAGATAGAAGGTTTTCTTTTCCTTAAATCTTTTCAAGACTAAATTATGTAACCTCAGAAGAAGCCATAGAAAAGAAGCTCTCTTCCTGAGATTTTTATAAGGACAGGGAAGGATAAATTTCTTATCCCTAGCCCAAATACAGGTAGTTATGTTAAAGAATCTAATTTCTTAAGAATTTCGAAGATGGGGGTGCCTGGGTGGCTCAGTCAGTTAAGTGTCTGACTCTTGATATCAGCTCAGGTTGTGATCTCTAGGTGCTGAGATTGAGCCCCACCTTGGGCCTCCTGCTGACAGCGTGGAGCTTGGTTGGAATTCTCTCCCACTCTCTTTGCCCCTCCCCCACTCACAGTTACACTCCTTCTCTCTAGAAACAAACAAACAACCAAATAAATAAATGAACACTTTTTAAAAAGTATCTTGAAAGGGAAAGTAAAGTTGTGCTTTGATTACTTTCCTACTTTAATAAAGCTTTCTTTTATAGGGCACCTGGGTGGCTCAGTTGGTTAAGCATCTGACTTCACTTCAAGTCATGATCTCGTGGTTCCTGAGTTCCAGCCCCACATCAGGCTCTGTGCTAACACCTTAGAGCCTGGAGCCTGCTTCGGATTCTGTGTCTTCATCTCTCTCTGCCTCTCCCCAACTCATGCTCTGTCTCTCTCTCTCTCTTAAAAATTAATAAACATTAAAATTTTTAAAAAATTAAATTTAAAGCTTTCTTTTAAGGCATCTCAATTTAAAATGATTCAGAGTCCAGCCTTTAGCCACTTTAACATGCAAATAGTCTACTGGACAAACACCAAAAACTCCAGACAGCTCTACTCACTGTAGCCCAAATTGTGTGTTTGCAACCTGTAAACTGCATCTCCTTAGGCCATATTGCATGGAAATAACATAATATAAATAAAACTGGACAGATCGATGGTGATGGCAATGAGAGGCAATAGACCTGCACACTGTCCTTGTGCTTATGTTAACTCTGACTGCCATTGAATATAGCACTAAATAGAGTGAAAAGACAGAAAGGGGATTAGGGTTTATTCTGGGTGTTGGAGAGCTGCCTTTTTAATGTCTCAAGCTGGGCTGTATTGTTCTAGTCTGATTTCATTATTTCGGCAAGATTTGAAATTGACACTACAGGTTGGAAGTTCTGAGATGAGGTAATGGATGCCAGAAAATGATTGATCGATGAATGAAAATAGTCTATTTATTACTTTTATTAATCAGTGATAAGGGATTCAGAATTATTTCCTGCTGATTTTTAAACATTTGTCTTGTTATGAAAATTCCCTTAGCTTTTGCATTAACCACTTGCAAAGGTAGCTACAGATGGATAAATTTCTGTTTACCTCCCCCCTCCTCCGTGATAGCATAAAAGAACACACCCAGCATCAAATAAACACAAGTAAACATACACAAATGTGTCTCCTGGCTGAACTATTTTTTACACTTTGTTCATAAGCAAGTTTCTAAAATTATGAATAGAGGTGCAAGGACCTGTGATTGTTAGCTTTTAATTATATAGCTTACCATCAAGTTCCTAAGTGACTTCCATATAGCATAGCACATAATAGGAGTTTTCTGGGGTTGGTTTTTAACAGTAAGTGACCTCTCAATAGTTTTCAACCCATTGTGCATCCACTTGTTCTGAACACTGCCTTATGAGAAGTTACATCCTGTCCTAACTCCCCTGCTGATATCTTAGAGATCAAGAGGGCAATGCTAAAGGATAGGGGACTTTGTATTTCTCTTTGCCTTTCTTTCACTCAGTGACTATGACCTGCTGTATCTCAATAGGTTGAAATCTATGAACAGCAGATGGGGTGGTGAAAAAAGTATTAGGTAGTTCCCCAGGGCTGATGGAACCAAAGTCACTTTGTACTGAGCCTCCACTGCTCTCAAACTGGGAGATTTTCTTTTTAATCATCTTTCTCTCCTTGGCTCTGCGATTCTGAAACAATATTTTCACCAGAAACACAAAATGCTTTGGATTTAATGGGGCAACATACTGAATGCAGTTTTCATAGTCGTTGCTGATATTGTACAAGGGTTTTTTGCATTTACAAAACCTTATTGCATGTATCATTTCATTTGAGCCTCCTAATGACTTTATGAAGTATACGTATTTAACAAGTTAAAAAAAAAACACTGATACTGAGAGAAGGGAAGTATCCTGCATGAGATGAAACTGAGATCAAGTTCAGGGCTACTGATTCTAAATGCAGTGCTCTTTATATTACACCTCACCCACCACCTCTGTTGCACAGATAGAAATAAATGATAGAATGGCAGAATGCTGAGGTGTGGTGATAAAAAGGGAGGAATTTAAATAACAAAGGTAATTATGATATGTCATTAAAAGTAACTTCCTAATAATAAGGTTAGTGAAACATAGAACTGGGTGAACAAGGGTGATGAAATACTATATTTATTTTTGTGATACCAATGTGCCTTCATAAATGGATGAAAGGCAAGCTGCTTGGGATAGGGAACACACTAATGGACTTTACAATTAGAGCATTCTATGATTCCAGAATTACTTCTGGACTTAAGTGAAAAAACATCAGGTAGTTGTATAATGTCAAAGTTCAGGTAAATGGAAACCATTGATCCTTGTCATTCTATAATCTTCATTGAGTACCTATAGTATTTTAAATTTGAGGCAAGCATCAAAGGATTATACAGACCATAGAAAATGAAATTTCATACCATGAGTAAGAGAAAAACTTGCTTTAGCTAGCAGAATTGGTGTTCAGTTATTATCGTAGTTTGATTGATAAGAACCAGATGATTGTCATGATTGCCAGTTCTCCACTTTATACATTGGTTGTGACTACTTGGGGAATCAATCAAAGTTTTCACTTGACTAATTCTATGGGAGTTTTAATCCTTCTCCTCGTCCTATATCCCAACGCTTTGCTTCCATAACTGCATATTGTCCATCACATTCAATTATTAATTAACCCACTGACCAATGAGACTAAACTAGGAGGTCCAGTAGAATAATTTTGGGCCTTAGGAAAGCTTGGAAAATGTCTTGGTCTTCTATTTTGCTTTCAGCCTGCCCTAAAACCTCAATCTATTGAAATGACCATATTAGACATGTTGGATGTATGTCTGGTGTACCTGTCTTTCAGAAAGTCCCAGGTTGACTGCCAGTTCTGATTTTCTCCGAATGGTGATGTATCTATTGCAATGGAATTCCTTCTCTAGCTCCAATCTTTGATGATCTGTGTAAACCACACGATACTTTTCTTTTATCCTGGTTTTCCCTGTTATGGAAGAAAGTAATATATGTAATTATATTTTACTCCTTTGGAGATTTTTTGGTTGAAGGATCCATAACTACTGTTGCCATCCTTATCTATTACTCTCAAATATGAAACAAGTACATTTTTTGAACCAAATATGTCATACGTCCACTTCTCCATTAATCTCTCTGTCATCTGTGGATATATATATATATATATATATATATATATATCACACTTATCATGCCACCATTGACTTCCTGTTACAGCAAAGCACTTTTTTTTAAGCAAACACCTAACCCATGATTTTCATTCCCTTCCCACTCACATATGGAAACAACATTGGCAGTAGTAACAACATATATCATATATATGCTTTCCTTTATATTTTATGCAGGTCATTCATACCATTTCCTATTGAACCTCTCACCTACACTTTTGAATTATACAGACTATGTCTTATCTCCATTTTACCAATAAGAAACCTGAGGCACAGTGTAGGTAAGTAAGTGCTAGTAAGCTGAAGCACAAAAAAATGTGGGAACCCAGACATGTACACCTGACTCCCAGTCCAGTACACTAAATATTATTCCCAGTTTAAACATGCAGGGAAGCACAAGAATTGCCCAAGTGTGGCAAAGTATTCTGTGATCCTGACATTATTAGTTATATACATTCTAGTTATGTATATATTCTAGAGATAATTTTGTTTGGGTAGTAATTTAAAAAGAAAATATGTATTGCCTCTTAAGTTCTGTTCTATGATAGCCCTTATTACCTACTAGAAAAAATATTTTCTTTTGTGAGGGTCTTAAATTAATTTTTATTCCCAAGTGACTAATGAATAGGGGAAGGAGGAGGTGTTGACTTAAGCAGAATAAAATGAGTATTTTAGTATTCTTTGAAAGGATATACAAACATTTATTTGCTTTGTGTTACAGCATTTAACTAATTTCTCATGCCCTTCTTCAAATACAGTTTTATTCCTCCTTTCAAATTTTCCAAAAGTGATTAGGAAGCTTCCCTTTTTTTCCAATTTTTCTAACTCCCTCCAGGATCTTCCTCCTTTTCTCTATGGCATTTGGCAAACTGCTTCTGATCTTTCTTGGTTGTTTTTGATGTGAGGCCTTGGGGTACGATCTGTAGGACAAAGCTTTCTTTAAAGTGGTTCTCTAAACCCCATTGAGGTGTCAAGATGCAGCATAGGCCTAACAAAGGAGCTACACATCATCAGATCCTGTCCTGAACCCTCTTTACATTCAGGAACACCAGCCAGTTGGTTTGGAATTTCCAAGCCCTAAACAAATGTCAGACGCTCTTTCATCTCCAGGAAAGAAATAAAAGCATGTGAATGTAGAAACAAATTCTAGATGAGAGATATGTTTTAGTATTAAATTTAATGGGTTGAATAACCCATGGACTAATGGACTAAACAAAACTTCTCCCCTTGAAAATTTGAAATGCTGAGCCCCAGTCAGTTAACCTACCTGGAAGGCCCAAACTTTGATCTGGTTTTCTGAATCCAAACAGAAACCCAGAAAACCAGGGATCTGGCATTTGGTTTGTTACAAAGTCAGATGTATATTTCAGATCACAATGAGTGCTTTGAGACTTAATTTATTTCCAGAACCTCATATCTTAGGATCAAAAAATATTTTTGAAGAGCTATTTCCCAAAAGCCTTTCTAATCCCAAAGTAGCTGAGTATTTAAATTATAACTTGAGGCAGAAGTTAAAGTACAACCTGTGTGTGTCTGTTTTCTACTCTTTGATAATCAGTAAATATAACAGACTTCAAGAACTCTGAAAGGTTGCAGTCTTTCCCCACCCCCATTGGTCATAAATTCCCCCCTTGCAGTTTCTTCTGAGGACAATAAAGTCAACACCAGTCCTCTTTATTTGCCATGAAAATCCTCACCCTTTCCGGCAATATAATCGCTGAAGAAAGGAGGGATGAGGAAGAGCCCAGCTGCATATCAAAGCCATATGAAGTGTTAAGAAGAGTCTGTTGCTTTGATCTGATAGATAAGACCTCATACCTCAAGAAGAGGTAGCCCAGGGGAAGTATTGACTGCACATATTGCAAAGAAAAATGAATTCCTCTTGCGTCTCTCCTCCTGAACTCTCTTCTTTCTTCTGTCTCATTGCCTCTGCCCCTTAAATGGTGAAATTGTATTGAATGGGATTTGGCCATCTTCCAGTAGAGCATTATGTCCATATTCCCATACCAAACCAAAGCAAAGATGATGAAAACTAGTTTCCTGTATCAGGAGTACAGTGCAATTGACCTCATCGTAATGACTTTCCATCTTAAGATAATCCTTTGCTGTTTTTAGTTAAAAATTGCATCCAAATTCATTTGTAAAAATGTCCAATGAAATGTTTAAAACCAAAGAACACAATGATAAGTTCAAGAATTATTAAGCAACTTATTTTTTGAAGTGTCTTAATTGAGTAAAACCTTTTAAGTATAACTTCCTCAGTGTTTTGTCCAGTGGCTTAATCAGAATTATTCAAAGTCACTTCCTTCTCTCCTCTATCTCACTCCTAACAACAACAACAACAACAACAAAAAACCTTTCTCCAGCCCTGTTTAGGTTACTGCCTTGCCAAAACTCTTCCAAGGCTATAACTCTGAATAATAGAAAAGATGAAAAAAATAATTCCTAGCTGTGATACACTGACAATGTTTAAAATATGAAAATACTTAACTTTTGACAGAATCTTTCTGTAAATTCTTTCCTCATAATCTTTAAAATGAGATGTGTATTGAAACAAACCACTTAGAAAACAAAGTATATGTAAACATATCTTTCTTTTTAATCAAAACACCTAAGGGATAGTCATTTACTCTGTATGTCAGTACCCTTTCCTTCCTTAGAAAAATCAAATGTGATAATGGTCATTATGAAATGTTTTCTGATTGTTCCCTAAACATGTATTTTTCTTAAGTTAAGGCTATTTAAAGTAGTCCTCAGTAATGGAAAAAACTTTTATTTGATTACCTTAATCAGAGAGGGGTACTTCTAATTTGTAGTTCATCTAATTGTCTTCTCAGCCATATGCCAAATGTTGTCCCACAGTACTACAGAGTGAAGTACAAAATTTAGGAGGATCTGACTCATTCATTAATTTAACAACTATTTGTTTAACACTATGTACTAAGCATACAAATGGGTGCATTTTGGTTCAGAGTGGTCCAATGAGGTGATCAGTTTAATTTTTTGTGGAATTCAAAACCTGAAACCCACTGAAGAGTGGATCCATGAATCTCTCAAAATTATCCAAAAAGGACACGTGTGTGTATGTGTGTGCATTTATGCACATGCATATGCATGTGGGTGCAAGTATATATATGCATTTTTCTGGGGAAAAGGTACATACCTTTCATTATATTCTTAAATTCCTGCTAAGTCTGCACCTTGGGCTACAAGCATATATGAAAAGGACAATTTTGATTTATCAGACAGTAATATGAAACACAGATTGAATATAATAAAGCTTCATCTACAAGATAAGCTTCCAGGAGTCAAAAGGTTTCCAAAATAATTCAATTTTAAATTTCTTATAGAGTTTGGAGAGAAAATCTTGTGAAGGTGGCATTGTATAGCCAGGTTTGAAGGTTTGGCAATATGACAAACTAAGGAGTGCCTTTCTAAACTTCTCCTGGCACCAGCATTACCCAAGAGGAAGACCCAAGCTCATGAAAGCAAATGCAAATGGAAGACTTTTAAGCAGTGAAACCTGTCACATTTTCTCTCATAAACAAAAATTCAAGACTCAAGATCATTTCTTTTGTCCTTCTCCCCCCACCAATTGTTCTCTCTTCCAAACATACTAAAGAGACTTTCCTTTTATAAAGTGCTTCAAAACATCATCTTGGACTGAGAGCAGCTACTTATTGACTTTTGTGTTTTTTGCTGATCTTAGGGCTAAGTAAATGAATGTTAATTACAACCCTAAGATTAGATGTAACAACAGCCCCAAGAGTGTCCCACCATAACCTCATTTTCTATTCTACTTAGACAACTGACTCGCCCATATTTTTTAAAATGCAGATTTACTTTCAAACACTTTAAAGAGAAGTATTTAGCTCTACTCTCAGTTTGGGATTGCTACCCTAGTAATGTCCCAATCAACCGAAACTGCCTCCTCCTAAGATTTCTCCTAATGGTAAAAGTTGGTCCCTTCCCACGCTCCTGCCTTTGCTTTTTGAAGGGGAGAAAACATGCAGAACTGTGAACAAAAGCATAATCATTATGGATAAGTGCTATTAAAATTCATTTTCTCCCCAGAGGGATAAAAGTGATAGAGTCAAATTTTACCAATTTTTTCCAATGACAGGAAATGATAGATTGGAATAATAAAAATATGATAAAAGAACAATTACAGCTGAAAACAAATATCTCTCTACATCCTCCCATCCAAGATTAAAATAGAGTACCCATTTCCCCTTCCCTGGGCTCCCAGCAGCCCCTATTGGCTTGCTGGTAGGAGCATAAGTCATCATTAGGCTGGGATCTCTGGGCCTTCCTGCACTCCATCACAGACCTGCATCCAGCCCCTGTGTCTCCAGAAGCCTTCCTGGACAATTATAAAGTCTTTAACCACCTATTCATGCTGGGTCTGATATTTATTGTGCGCCCATGCGTGTTAGAGTTGAGTAGCTTATTATGTTCCAGCAGTGTATTGTTGCCTTCTCGCCTGACTCAACACTTCCATTGGCAGAAAGGACGTCTGAAGAAAACAATAGGTTTGAGTCCAGCTTGCCTGTGCCAACTTGGGTGAAGGAAGCTATAGCTTCCTTGAAAGGCCAGAATGACAAGGCCACTTTGCGATGGGGGGCTTTGTGGCTAAACTGGAGGGTCTATTGCCAGACAAGCACTGTGAAACCTAAGTTGAGCATCACCAGCTTTTGAGGGGAGTGGACCTGCCCAGGTGGGGAAGGGTTTTAAATGGAAAGGGCAAGCATCAGTGACAGCACTGGAATATCGTGGCTATCCCTTCGCTTCATTCACCCATTGATCATTCCTGTGTATCTCTTTTCCCCTCTGGGAAACTACAGGGTTGGATCCTGATCCTTGTGGCTCAATATGTCTATTGCCCACCCGCTTGTTCTCTTGACTCATCAGGAAAAGATGAAAAAACACTCCTAGGGTCGGTTTGGTTCCAAGCGCCGCACTCTACGGGCTCTGAGCAGAGACACACGCAAGGAGATGTCACTAATGGGAGGGGACCCTGGGCACTTTGTCACGAAGTGCTCCTCAGCGAAACTGTTCCTGGAGAGGCTTGAGAAGTAGGAGCGCAGACAAGCCAACAGAAGTAGAAGCAAAGCGAAGGAAGGAAAAGTGTGAGGGCATTGGGATGGACTACTCACCGGTCAGCTGCACGGTCTTGCGCATCCACGCATAAGGGCTGTGATGGCTTCTGTTAGAACTGGCATCCGCGGTGTTGGCGTCTACAGGGAACAGTGACCCACTACCTGGGGCTGGCAGGCTGCCACTGCTGCTTCCCCGGCCCGCAGGACCCAAGTTGTATTCCAGGGAACCAAAAGCGGCAGGGCTTGAGTTCATGTCGTTCACGGACACAGTGCCCATTGTACTGGACGGCCCAGGGTACACATTCCAGTCTTCTTGAGGGGGACTATAGGGCGAACCCCAGACCCCCAGAGACGGCCCGTGAGAATCTATGCTGGGTATATGGGGATACCCCATGTAGTGCGCATAGGCAGGTGCTGCTGTGAAGTTGGAGGCTGGCAGGAGACTCCCACCGCTCCCATTGCCTCCAGTCCCAGCGGTGCCACCTCCCACGGGGTTCCTGAGAGTGCCCAGGTACATGCCTGCTTCTTTTTCCAAAAGGCAGCTTCTGTACATAGTGACTTGGATATGAGGAAGGAGCTCCCTAAGCCATTCTGAAGTTCCTGTAAGGCCTCCACCCGACTTTGAGACGCAGCAGGGAAGCAATAGATTAGTAGGTAGCTGTGCTGCAAGCTTTGCTGTGCCGCTCAGACTACTCCATCTTGCGTTTCCTACTCGTCAGGTTTCCAGGTGACTGGTAGCTGGGTATGGGTGGGCCACCAATGGCTCGGCTGACGTCAAGGCTTCGGGCTTTTACATATCATTTGCATTCAAATGAAGGGCCATTTCACTTTCACAGGGACTTGTTCTCTCCAGGCTCCCTCTCCCAGAGCTCCCAAGCTTTTCAGTCTCATCTTTCTCACTTTTGTTCATCTGGTCCCCATAGCAGCAGTTTGCGCTTTTGGACGCAGGAGTTTCTCCAAGGGTTTCTGACCAGCTCCCTCCAAAGTGAGACGAAAACAGGCAAAAGTAGGGCCAAGTCCTGCTCCTTGGGATTCAGTCCTTACCCTGGAGCCTCCTCTTTCTGTGGGACTTGCCTAGCTTAGTCCAGTCTGTATCTGTGGTATCCCCTCTTCCCACATTCCCCGGCAAGGGTACTCCATTGGAGCTGGCCCAGGATACCACTGAAAAGAGCTTTCCCTTCTCCTCATTGCTCCCTCCCCCAGGAGGAGGGCTTTGTTTCTAAGAACAGGGATTCATTTCACAAGTATATATTGTGCGTCTTCTGAGTGCTAGGCACTGTTGTAGGCACTGGGGACATAGCAGTGAACAAGAGACAAACATTTTGCTCTGCCTTTTTAAGATTATATTACAGTGGATGACAGGCTGGATTAACTGAATGTTTTAAAGAAGGATGAAGAGAGCAGTTATGAAACAAGGAAGGAAAGGGAGAAGAGACATGTAGGTAGTGGGCTTTCTTATTTTCACGTCAGTCTCAGGTGTCTTTCCACCAGGTATCACTTCTGCCTCATAGCCAGTGCTCCAAGGAGTCAAATTCCTACAGTCTCAAATCTAGGGTAGCCACAGCTTCCAACTTTCTTTCACACCTGAAGAAATTCCCTTTGTAAAGCTCCACATATTGAAAAAGACATGGGCTTGCCAGTAGATGTCAACAAACACAAGATTTCGGTTCAAGAAACTGGATACACTTTTTTTTTTTTTTTTTACAAATAGTTTATTGTCAAATTAGTTTCCACATAACACTCAGTGCTCATCCCCACAAGTGTCCTCCTGAAACTGGATAAACTTTTGAACACAAAACCACTCTGTACCCCAGTGTTCTTTCCCATCTCCATCCTGCCCCACTCCACCCCTCCCCAAACCTACCATGACCTTTAATTTAGACTGTGCTAACGTCTAAATTAGGGAATGTGCTACTACTCAGGGAATGTGCTCCTCTATAAAGTCCAACCCAATCTGGCACCCCTATAAACTGACCTGTCTTTGGCTTTGGGAATATCTCTTCACCTCTTGGAGTTTCAGGGATTTTCCCTGTATAAAATAGAGATCCCAACTAACAGTGTCTACACTACAAAGCATGATTTGAGATAATATATGCAAATTACTTACCTTAGTGCTCAGTACACAGTATGAGACCACTGTATTCATTAACTCACTCAACAAATATTTATGGAGTGCTAAGTGCTATTTTATGCATGGAGATATAAACAGTGAATAGATAAAGCCCCTGGCCTTATTAAGCTTATATTCTAGTCAGGAGAGACACTAATAAGTAATTAAATTTTATGATATGTAAGATGGTAATAATCAGTGCTGTGAAGAAAAAGAAAAAGAAAGCAGGAAGGAGGATACACAGAATGCTGGGGGGGGGTGTTGCAATTTAAAATGTGGTAATCTGGAAGGACCTCACCTCAAAATGACATTTAAATGGTGGTACTTGTATGAACTATGAGGAGAGGATCCAGAGGGAACAAGTGAAAAGAGTATGTCTGTCTTCTATTGGAGAAACAGAAAACAAACAAATTAAAAACAAAAAACAACTCAATAGCCAAAACCAAAACAAAAAACCTGTGTAGCTAAAGAATAGATGGGGTCAGTTCAAAAGGTAAGGGGGACTAAGTTTTGCTCTAAGTGAGGCAGGAAGACATTGTAGGGCTTTGAGCAGAGGAGTGACATGATTTAAGTTTTGAAAGAATCACTAGCAGTTGGATTAAGAACAGACTGTAAGTGGGCTGATTAATTAAAAGGCTATTGCAGTAATCTAGGTGAATGGCATTAGGGTTGGAGGAAAGTGTTTAGATTCTGGATATATTTTGTTTACTTGTTTTTAATGTTTGTTTATTTTGAGAGAGACAGAGAGAGCATGAGTGGGGGAGGGGCAGAGGGAGAGAGGGAGAGAGAATCCAGAGCAGGCTCTGGAGAAGGAGAAGGAACAAAAGTAATTGGTCAGCAAAGACTAATTAAAGGCTGCAACTGGGGAGAAGGGACTAAGAGTCAGGGAAAGTAACATATTTATAAAGCACTTTTTACCCATGATGTCATTTAATTTTCACAACAGGCCCATGAGTTATTTGTTATTATTATTAATTATTCCCATTTTAAAATGAAGAAACTAAGGCTCACAGAGGTGACCTGATGATTTAAATGAACTACTGGCATATGGTATAGTTAGGTTTCCATTCTATACCACACTAACTGCAAAGTTGATGTTTTGAAATTGGAACTAGACTAAAAGCACAGCCTTAGGGCTTTGATTTGGGGCTTGGCTTCTATTTTCTTTCTCTGCTCAGGCTCCCAGGCCTGTCTTTCAATACTCTTCATATCATGTACCCAATTACCCTTGAATTATTCTCTTTCACCTATTCTATACTGAGGCAAACTGGTCCACCTGACATTTGAAAAATATATCAGAATGGAAGCACATGGAGTACCTTTAAAAGTCAGTTAACCCAGTATTATTATTTTACCTATGAGAAAACTGAGGGTCTGACAGGAAAAGGTATTCTTTAAGGAAGTGAATGACAGAACTGAGATTCAAACTCGGGTCCGTTGCCTCCCACATCAATACTCTTTCTACTAAAAAGTGTCTTTGCTTATGCAATTTCCTCTGTGTAGACTATTTTTTCTTTGTTACAAAATGTTCAAGTTCACCCTATTTTTCATGTCTCAGCTCAAATGCCCTTTCTCCTCTAAAGCTTTATGTGATGATGCTCCTCTCAGAAGACACTCTTCCAGTGAAATTTTGTCATTTGCAATGGCATGGATGGAGCTAGAGAGTATTATGCTAAGTGAAATAAGTCAGAGAAAGACAAATACCATATGATTTTACTCATATGTGGAATTTAAGAAATGAAAAAAAATCAAGCAAAGGGAACAAAAAAGAGAGAGGCAAACCAAGAAACAAACTCTTAACTATAGAGAACAAATTGATGGTTACCAGAGGGGAGGTGAAGAGGGGTTGGGTTAAATAGATGATCGGGATTAAGGAGGGCACTTGTTACGATGAGCACCGGCTATTGTAAGGAAGTGTTGAATCACTATATTGTACCCCTAAAACTAATATTACACTGTATGGAATTTAAATAAAAACTTTTAAAAATAAAAAAAGAAAGCACTCTTTCTTTTGTCTGAATTCTGTTATCAGCTTCACTCCTCCGTTAACTAATACTATTCTTATCCACCTTAGAATTATTTGGGGTTCTATCTGAATCTTTTGAAATTTGAACACCTTGAAGGGGTATGAGGAAGCATGTTTGATCCCAGCAGAGTGAAGTATCATGCACATGGTAGGGTCTTAGGAAATATTTGTGTGCTGAATCAATAAATGACCTTTAAACTATAGAATGGAAATTATCATTTTGACCCAGCTCTGGGATATCTGGAAGAGAAGCCAGTAAGAACATTGTCCAGTGTTTGGCAGAACTTGGCTTTAGGATTACTCCATTTTGTGATATTTTTGTTTCTAGGAGGATGAGAATGGATTGGGGAAGTAGGAAATGAAAGGGGAGGCAGACAGGCAGGGAGATTCAGTCTAGTTTATATGACTAGAAATTTTTATTTCTTTCTTTACCTGAAAGGTGGCCTAACTCAAGAAAACAAAAGTTGCCACCAGCAAGAGTCAAGCTCCACAGTCTGAAGATCAAAGCTCAGGCCATGCAAGTGTTATTTAGTACTTCTAGGGAGTGATCTCTTAATTTTTCTGAGACTTAGAGAGGCATTGGTCAAATAGACCTCTGGTAGATACTCCTCTTCCATTGCCAAGCTCTGGACTGATACCCACAGACCAGGTTAATTATAAGGATTGAGTTTGATAATAAATGTGAAATTGTTTTGTGAACAGTGAAGTACACTTGTGATGGACTATGGGTATCTGGGCAAACCTTTTCCTTAGTAGGCTTAATGCTTGGAAGGTTCTCAATTGCCTGGTAAATATTTTCTAAGCCTTTCAGGACTGCCAGAGTTGGCCAGGGCAACTCTCCTCCGTCCCAGCCTCCCCCACATCCCTGGCCCAGATTTCAGCTGGATTAGCCTCTGCAGAGGACAAGGAGTCTGTACCATGGAGATTGGCTTCAGTCATCCATCATTGGGCCCTCATTGCTACTGGGAAGGAGATGAAGAATGCAGAATAAGACCCTCTTACTGACATGGTAATTGAGGCTGAGGGTAAGAAAAAGATTTACCCAAGGCACACTCTATTAAATAATCTGTGGGACTTGGATTTAAACCCAACAATAACTGACTGAGGAACTCTACAAAGCACTCTGCCTATTTTAGCCTCAGTTCCCAACAGGAAAAAATAAGACTGACAATAGAAATCGCTTCATACAGATTTGGGAGAATTCAGCACTCCAGTAATGTGCTCAAAAAATGGCCAATATTATAATCCACAGAGTGGCTAGGGCTTCCACAGGGCATGAACCTACTGTGCCTCCTCTAGCTCACATCCATGGAAGGAAGGCACTGAGACTGGGAAGAAGACCCAGAGTAATTTAAACATCTATGCTTGTTGCCTCGCCAGTCAAATTTTGCTCTTTGGGTTTTAAAAATTGCCCACC